TGAACGCATTGCAACACCCTACAGTGGGAATCCCTCACGCTTGTGCGACACGGAGGGCACCATAGGAAAGCACCAATAATAAAACATGCAATCAAACCAATCATAGCAATTCATCAATCACTGATAGGACAACGAAAATCTACTCAGACATCATAGGATGGCAACACATCATTGGAAAATAATATGAAGCATAAAGCACCATGTTCAAGTAGAGGGTACAGCGGGTTGCGGGAGAGTGGACCGCTGGATATAGAAGGGGGAAGGTGATGGAGATGTTGGTGAAGATGATGGAGGTGTTGGTGAAGATCGCAGTGATGATGATGTCCCCCGGCAGCGCTCCGGCGCCACCGGAAGCAAGGGGGAGAGAAGCCCCCTTCTTCTTCTTCTTCCTTGATCTCCTCCCTAGATGGGAGAAGGGTTTCCCCTCTTGTCCTTGGCTCCCATGGCCTGGGAGAGGCGAGAGCCCCTCCAGATTGGATCTATCTCTCTATTTCTGCGTTCCTGTTTCTACCCCTTCACCGTTTCCTTTATATCTAGAGATCCGTAACTCCGATTGGGGTGAATCTTCCACCCAGATTTTTCTTGTAAAATTAGATTTCTTGCGGAAAAAAAGAGCGTCAACCGCCTTACGGGTGGCTCACGAGAGTCCAGGGCGCGCCCCCCTGTCTCGTGGCCATCTCGGACACCGTTTCACGTTGATTCTTCCTCCGGAAAATCCCAAATATTCCAAAATAATTCTCCGTCCGTTTTAATCCCGTTTGGACTTCGTTTGATATTGGTTTTCTGCGAAACATAAAACATAAAACAAACAGGAACTGGCACTGGGCACTGGATCAATATGTTAGTCCCAAAAATAGTATAAAAAGTTGCCAAAAGTATATGAAAGTTGAAGAATATTGGCATGGAACAATCAAAAATTATAGATACGACGGAGACGTATCACACCTTTATAGCCACCCAGTTATGTTGTGACGTTTGGTATACCTAAAGCATTCCTACGGTATCCGGGAGTTGCACAATCTCATGGTCTAAGGAAATGATACTTGACATTAGAAAAGCTCTTAGCAAACGAACTATACGATCTTGTGCTATGCTTAGGATTGGGTCTTGTCCATCACATCATTCTCCTAATGATGTGATCCCGTTATCAATGACATCCTATGTCCATGGTCAGGAAACCATAACCATTTGTTGATCAATGATCTAGTCAACTAGAGGCTCACTAGGGACATGTTGTGGTCTATGTATTCACACATGTATTACGGTTTCCAGTTAATACAATTATAGCATTAACAATAGACAATTATCATGAACAACGAAATACAATAATAACCATTTTATTATTACCTCTAGGGCATATTTCCAACAAAATCACATGGCAATGTGAACCAGATTATTGACTCTAGTGCGAGTGGGAGACTGAAGGAAATATGCCCTAGAGGCAACAATAAAGTTGTTATTTTATATTTCCTTATATTATGATAAATTTTTATTATGCATGCTAGAATTGCATTAACGGGAAACTTGATACATGTGTGGATACATAGACAAAACACTGTGTCCCTAGTAAGCCTCTACTAAACTAGCTTGTTAATCAAAGATGGTTTAGTTTCCTAACGATAGACATGTGTTGTCATTTGATGAACAAGATCACATCATTAGGATAATGATGTGATGGACAAGACCCTTTCGTTAGCTTAGCATTATGATCGCTCAGTTTTATTGCTATTGCTTTCTTCATGTCAAATACATATTCCTTCGACTATGAGATTATGCAACTCTCGAATACCGGAGGAATGCCTTGTGTGCTATCAAACGTCACAATGCAACTGGGTGATTATAAAGATGCTCTACATGTATCTCTGAAGGTGTTTGTTGGGTTGGCATAGATCGAGATTAGGATTTGTCACACCGAGTATCAGAGAGGTACCTCTATGCCCTCTCGGTAATGCACATCATAAGAAGCCTTGCAAGCAAAGTGACTAATGAGTTTGTTGCAGGATGATGCATTACAGAACGAGTAAAGGGACTTGCCGGTAACGAGATTGAACTAGGTATGAAGATACCGACAATCGAATCTCGGGTAAGTAACATACCGATGACAAAGGGAATAACGTATGTTGTCATAATGGTTCGACCGATAAAGATCTTCATAGAATACGTGGGAGCTAATATGAGCATCCAGGTTCTGCTATTGGTTATTGACCAGAGAGGTGTCTCAGTCATGTCTACATAGTTCTCGAACTCGTAGGGTCCGCACGCTTAACGTCCAATGACGATTTTGTATTATATGAGTTATGTGATTTAGTGACCGAATGTTGTTCAGAGTCCCGGATGAGATCACGGACATGAAGAGGAGTCTAGATATGGTCGAGAGGTAAAGATTGATATATAGGACAATAGTATTCGGACACCGAAAGTGTTCCGGAGGGTACCGGGTACATATCGGGTCACCAAAAGGGGTTCCGGACACCCCCCCCCCCCTCCCCG